CCCAGGCACGGCGGAGGCGGGGGCGGCTCGCCTGCCGCCCTCGAGCCGCGACAGCCGGTGCCGTGGCCGGCCTGCCGTCGAACGCGACGGGGGGACGGCCTCATGCCGCCTCACCGCGAGAAGCGGCGGCCGGCCGCCACCTCAAAGGAGGCCTCGAGCGCAAATCACGCGCGAGGCACCTGCCGGAGGGGGTGGGGTGGTCGGGCGGTCAAGGGGAAGGCGTCTCCGGTGGGTGGGCGCCGCTCCCACAGCGCGCGGGGCGGGGAGGCCGACTGCGGCGGTGATACGGTCGCGCGCGCGGGGCGTGGAGGGCCAGGGAGGTGGAATACGGGGCGGCGGAAACTTCCGATTTTTTGCAGTTCTAATTAGCCCGAGGCTGGCCGGAGAGGATTGAGCCGTGCGATTTTTGTTTTTCCGCTGGTCGAGCCGGCCAGCCGTGCCTACGGCGAGAAAAGGAGCGTCCGACCCGGTCCGATCTCGCGCTCCAGCGGGAACGCCGAGCGCCTCGGACGCCAAGCGGAAACGGCGTTCCGAGGCGGGGCGCGGTGGCGATCGCCGGTCGGCGCCTTCGCGGCCGGCCGGCCCGGTGGGTTGCCACGGCACATGCGCCGCGCGCCGTCGCCAGGCCCCGCCGCCGCCCCGCCAGAGCAGCGGCGAGATGGGAGGCGGTCGGCGGGTGACATCGGCTCTTCGAGCGAGCTTTCAGCTCACTTTGACGACGCTAGGAAAATCAATTCGTGGAATCCAGTTCGAGATGCAGTGAGGCGGAGCCTACCCTGTTGGGCCCAAAATCAGCCAAATTGCCGTAGGCCAAATCGGAACAGGCCCCCGCCCGTGCGATCTTTGTGCAGGGTTCGTTGTGGGTGTGGTCGGCGGCAAAGTGCTTGGGGCGCCCTCTGTTTTCCTTTTTGTTGGGTGAAATTCTCAAAAAGGTGCAGCACTTCTAGCCGACATCGACAAAAGTCCCTCTCTAGCCCCGCGGCGAGCGGCCCCGCCGGAGGCGAAGAAAATTTCGCCATCTAGCGCTCGCAACACATAGATTTGTGCATAAATCAACACCTCCAATCTTCGGGGAAGTGACGGATAAAGGCGTGCGAAAGAGCTAATGAATCCGAAAGCAGCGAATCCAAGTGATGGCCCGCCGCAGGCGAAGAAAATTTAGGGTTGGGGTTCCCCTACGCCAAAGAACTCTTATTAGAGGATTTCGGCGGCCGGCGCGCCGAGGCACAGCGGTTCGCGCTGCCTGCTCGCGCTGGTTACACCGTTGCTGTGGCCGTCTTCGTCCGTATTGTACACCGAGCTGGCGCCACAGCAGAGTACAACAACGGCTCGGACTAGCTGCTCCACGGTACTACATCATCAGAGGGCCCGGCAAGGTCCACGGCGGAGCTGGCGGTGGTGGGAGTGGTGGTAGGAACGAAGGCGCACCTGTCGGCGATTCACCGCCGTTCGTTCCCGTCTCTCAAAGCTGGTTACACCGTCGATGCGCACATCGAGGCGCTCGTGGACGAGAGAGACGTCGCCTCCTCTTTCGTCCCGGGGCACTGTTCACGCCGGAAGGCCCCGTACACTGCCAAGTACATTAGCCTTCATCTCTCCTACCGCCGGCCGGGAGTGCAGCCGCCACCAGTGAGATTGTCCTCGACGTTGGCACCTGCGAAGTAATGAACAACAGGCAGTGCGTCATATGGCGCTATGATAGCCCTGCGGTGGACGTCCTCGACGCAGACGAGGCGGAGCTCATCTGCGCGGCGCAGATCGCCGACTGTCTCTCCCTCCCTGCGCGAGTGGTTGCACCACCCTGGATGAGGCATCTGGGCTGGGGCAGGGCCGTTAGTAGAGGAGGGCGACTGAGGGCGCGAGGCCGCCAATCGTCAAAGTCTGCTGCGACTGACTGTCGGTCACTGACTGAGCAATGAGCAATCGCATCGGCGGTTTCACTCACGCTCACAATCGGGTTACATCCAGGTCTCTGTGCGGGATGTGCTGGGGGGCTGCCCCCCAGTCGATTGCCGCATAGTTCGTCGATGTAACCCTACCAGAAAGCTGTATTCACACCTACCCTTCCAAAAAAAGAAATGTCCCTGCTTTTGTCGAAGATCCGGCGGGTTTATCGGAGCATCACCCTGTTTGCCGGAAAAGTATATACAGGCCAACGGTCTTTGCACAAGGAGAAAATCACTGAACATACAACAGGCGTACAGGCCGAGATTACTCACCGTCATCGGAACCTCGGCTGACACGCGTTAGTTAGTCCGCTCTACCCTCCACTCCCCTCCTCCCCCCGTCTGCCCCTTCGCCGCCTCGGCCCGCCGCATCCGCTCCGCCAGCGCGTCGTTCGCCTCGGCGCGCGTGCCGAGCTCGCGCGCGCGGCGGGCGACCCAGCCGTTCAGGTGCTCCACCTAAGCGAAAATAGGGGGGGGGGGGGGTGAAACGAGGGGGGGGGGGGGGGGAAACCACCATCCCCATGGGGGCTGTTTTCAGGTGCTGCACCTCGGGGCCCCCGCCCGGGGGCAAATCCTGGGGCATCCAGGTCCAGTTGGCGGGGTTTTC